ACTGGCAAGTGGAAAAGACATGAAGCTGCAGGAGGGAAGGATCAAACTTCTGGGCCCCCTCTCCACACTACAGAGCATAATGTGCCACTGCATGACCATAGAAACATAGAAACATAGAAACATAGAATGTGACGGCAGATAAGAACCATTCGGCCCATCTAGTCTGCCCAATTTTCTAAATACTTTCATTAGTCCCTAGCTTATCTTATAGTTAGGATAGCCTTATGCCTATCCCACGCATGCTTAAACTCCTTTACTGTGTTAACCTCTACCACTTCAGCTGGAAGGCTATTCCATGCATCCACTACCCTCTCAGTAAAGTAATACTTCCTGATATTATTTTTAAACCTTTGTCCCTCTAATTTAAGACTATGTCCTCTTGTTGTGGTAGTTTTTCTTCTTTTAAATATAGTCTCCTCCTTTACTGTGTTGATTCCCTTTATATATTTAAATGTTTCTATCATATCCCCCCTGTCTCGTCTTTCCTCCAAGCTATACATGTTAAGATCCTTTAACCTTTCCTGGTAAGTTTTATCCCGCAATCCATGAACCAGTTTAGTAGCCCTTCTCTGAACCCTCTCTAAGGTAACAATATCCTTCTGAAGATACGGTCTCCAACTGTGTACAATACTCCAAGTGAGGTCTAACCAGTGTTCTGTACAATGGCATGAGCACTTCCCTCTTTCTACTGCTAATACCTCTCCCTATACAACTAAGCATTCTACTAGCATTTCCTGCTGCTCTATTACAATGTCTGCCTACCTTTAAGTCATCAGAAATAATCACCCCTAAATCCCTTTCCTCATATGTTGAGGTTAGGACTCTATCAAATATTCTGTACTCTGCCCTTGGGTTTTTACGTCCAAGATGCATTATCTTGCACTTATCCACATTAAATGTCAGTTGCCACAATTCTGACCATTTTTCTAGTTTACCTAAATCATTTTTCATTTGGCTTATCCCTCCTGGAACATCAACTCTGATGTCTCTGAGCTTGAAATCCATGTGTTTTTAGATGTTCATCAATCCTATCCTTTAACATGGTTTCCATCACTTTCCCCACTACTGAAGCAAGGCTTACTGGCCTATAGTTGCCCGACTCCTCCCTATTATCTTTCTTGTAAATGGGCATAACATTCGCTAACTTCCAATCTTCTGGGACTACTCCTGTTAACAATGATTGGTTAAATAAATCTGTTAATGGTTTTGCTAGTACACCACTAAGCACTTTTAATAGCTTTGGGTGTATTCCATCAGGTCCCATTGACTTATTTGTCTTTACTTTTGACAGTTGAAATAGAACCTCTTCCTCTGTAAACTCACGAGGAATAAATGACTAATTTATCCTTTTTCTCAACTGAGGTCCCTTTCCTTCATTTTCATCTGTAAATACAAATACAGGGAAGCAAGTGTCCTCCCTCCCGAGCCACAGGTAAGAGGAAGGGAGGGGGGAATATACTTATTTATACATAAAAAAAACCAAAAAACTGATTAGCCGTCTACACACACTACATGCACTAAACACACACTGCATCCACTGCACACACTGCATCCACTACACACACTCTGTGTCCACTACACACACCAAACATATTCTGCATCCACTACACACACTCTGCATCCACGACACTTCACCCAATATACAAATACAGACACTGCACACACTACGCACACACAGACACTGCACCCAATATACACACTGAGCACACTACGTGCACTACACACAGACACTGCATGCACTACACACAATATACATACTGCATCCACTACACACACTGCACACACTACATGCACTGGGCACACTCTGCATCCACTACACATACTACATCCACTGCACACTCCAAACATACTCTGCATCCACTACACACACTCTCTAAATCCACTACACCAACACTGCATCCACTACACAGACACTGCACCTACTACACAGCATCCACTAAACAAACACAGACAATGCACCCATTACACATACACTACATCACCACACAAATACAGACACTGCATCCACAACACACACACTCTCTGTATCCACTATATAAATGCACACAATGCATTCACTGTACACACTGCATACGATACACACACTGCATCTCCTACACACACACACTACATAACATTATGGATGTGTGCGAGGATTGGGAGGGGACGGGGGGCAGCTTTTCATCCTTCGACTCACACAATGGCACAATGTCTTGGGCTGGCCCTGCAGATACATGATGCTTGAGAGGTATGACTGTTTTTAGTGTTTTCTGTTGATAAGATTCTGTAATTAAGCCCATCATAATCATCAGCACCAGCCCAATTGGCTCTTAATCCAGCCCTTTCTATCATGGTCAGCATTAAGTTGTTTTTTTTAGCAATTTGAGCTACAGTAGCTCTTCTTTGTGATCAAACCAGATGTGATAGCATTCGCTTCCCCTGTGCATCAATGAGCCTTGGGCGCCTGTGACCTTGACACAGATTCACTGGTTGTTCTTCCTTCCACTACTTTTGGTAGGTACTAACTATTGAATCACCGGAACACCCCACAACACTTGTCAGTCTCTCCACAGCTTGCCCTGCCTCAATGAAAATTGCCATTTTGGAGATGATCTGACCTAGTCATTCAGCCATCACAATTTAACCCTTCTCAATGTTATTCATTTTTTTCACTTGCCCATTTTTCCTGCTTCTAACACATGAAATTCAAGAATTAACTGTTAACTTGCTACTAATATAGCACACCCCTTGACAAGTGCCATTTTAAAGATATAATCAATGTTATTCACATAACCTGTCAGTGGTTTTTTAATGTTGCGGTTGATCAGTGTATATCTATATTTAAAATGGATATTGAATTGATACAACAGGAAAAGGCACACTCGACAACTGCCACTAAGAACTGGCCACTAAGGAGGGCATTGCCTCCCTGTACAAAACTGTCAATGGGTTGCATGCTATCATGTCTATTTAAATAAAAATGCCTGTCAACCTGCGAAAAACCACAGTAATGGGCATCTTTCAGAAAGTCTTGCGCAATCTGATTGTGGAAAAATAGCAAATGGACAAGATCCAAAGGGCCTTGAGCTGACCTTCAGCAAATAAGGAGTTCTCATGGGATATTATATTCCATTTGCATTACTTTAGTTCACTGTGTGGGAAGCCTACTTGGTGGTTGTCAGGAGTGACTATACATAATTTGCTTCCTATGGTAGGAAACATAAACTCGAGACCTTGTCTCTGAGATATGTATAAAAAAGAAACAAACTGGCACCCTCTCTGAGCAGCTACCAGCTCTAGATATGATTAGGACTAACATCAAGTAAATTATATATTTGTCTCTTTAACAACACCAGGCTCAAATTTCAGAATCCTATTAAATCAACATCCATGCTTAGGATAGCATTTACACTTACTTCAAATTACCCCATCCCCTTTCTCTCTCTCTCTCTTTTTTTTTTTTCCTTCCTACTCTTTCTCTTTTTTTTTTTTTTGCTTGCTATTATGTCCATGGTCTATCTCAGGGATGTTATAATTCATTGTTTTAAATCATGAGATTATATTATTCATATATCTTAATGCATTTCTAATCGGCAGATTTGTATCCCAAACAAATTTTTGAAAAAGAAAATATCTCTAGCTGACTCTATATCTATTTACCAGAAAACTTAGTATTAATGCAAATACACTTTCAATTATATTGTTGTCATTTACCGAAAACATTGTTAATGAGGCCTTGTCAACATTCAATGAAAGACTTTTTATAGGACACTGAAAATTGATTATAAATTATATTGATGTAATGATAAATATAATTTTAAATGTTTTCTCTCTGTTTTCTGTTCTGTTTTTCATGCCCTAAATGTGAAACAATATCACTTTTTGTTCAGTAAATAAGACACACATATATATATATATATATATATATATATATACACATATATATATATACATATATATATATATATATGTGTGTGTCTTATTTACTGAACAAAAAGTGATATATATGTAAAAACACCTTTTCTTTGTCATGATGTCTATCTACATGGCCATCAAAACAAATGATAGAATTTACCACTGTCTCGGACTGCCCCAACCGATACATTTGTGAATATATACACACACATATACAGTATCTCACAAAAGTGAGTACACCCCTCACATTTATGCAAATATTTTATTATATTTTTTCATGTGACAACACTGAAGAAATGACACTCTGCTAAAATGTAAAGTATTAAGTGTACAGCCTGTATAACAGTGTAAATTTGCTGTCCCCTTAAAATAACTCAACACACAGACATTAATGTCTAAACCATTGGCAACAAAAGTGAGTACACCCCTAAGTGGAAATGTCCAAATTGGGCCCAAATAGCCATTTTCCCTCCCCGGTGTCATGTGATTCATTAACGTTACAAGGTCTCACGTGTGAATCGGGAGCAGGTGTGTTAAATTTGGTGTTATCTCTTTCACACTCTCTCATACTGGTCACTGGAAGAATTCTCTAAGGATCTGTAAAAAATAATTGTTGCTCTACATAAAGAGTCTATAAGAAGATTGCCAAGACCCTGAAACTAAGCTGCAGCACGGGGGGGCAAGACCAGTTTCGCAGGACAAGTTCCACTCAGAACAGGCTTCACCATGGTCGACCAAAGACGTTTAGTGCATGTGCTCAGCGTGATATCCAGAGGTTGTCTTTGGGAAATAGACGTATGAGTGCTGTCAGCATTACTGCAGAGGTTGCTGAAGACAAGTAGACTAAGGACATGGATTACTGGAACCATGTCCTGTGGTCCGATGAGACCAAGATAAACTTATTTGGTTCAGATGGTGTCAAGCGTGTGTGATGGCAACCAGGTGAGGAGTACAAAGACAAGTGAGTCTTGCCTACAGTCAAGCATGGTGGTGGAAGTGTCAAGGTCTGGGCCTGCAAGAGTGCTGCCGGCACTGGGAAGTACAGTTCGTTGAGGGAACCATGAATGCCAACATGTACTGTGACATACTGAAGCAGAGCATCATCCCCTCCCTCCAAGAAGACCACTGCCTTGCTAAAGAAGCTGAATTTTAAGGTGATGGACTGGCCAAGCATGTCTCCAGACCTAAACCCTACTGAGCATCTGTGAGGTCGTCATGGGGGAGTAGATTATTTTCCAGTTTCAACCTGTGAAGCTCTGGTGATCTCCATGCCCATGAGGGTTAAGTAAGTGATGGAAAATAATGGTGGTCACACGTAATATTGACACTTTGGGCCTAATTGGGACATTTCCAATTAGGGGTGTACTCACTTTTGTTGCCAATGGTTTAGACATTAATGACTGTGTGTTGAGTTATTTTGAGGGGACAGCAAATTTACACTGTTATACAGGCTGTACACTTACTATTTTACATTGTAGCAGAGTGTCATTTCTTCAGCGTTGTCACATGAAAAATATTTACAAAAATGTGAAGGGTGTACTCACTTATGTAAAATACTGTATATAAATACCTTTCATATATATATATATATATATATATATATATAAAAACAAAGTGAAAATACCGGCACTCAAGGTTTTCCAGAAGATAACTTCTCCATTTATTGCGGAAGAAAAATTCGACGTTTCAGCTCCACTGGGGAGCTTTCATCAGGACAGGTGATGAAAGCTCCCCAGTGGAGCTGAAACGTCGAATTTTTCTTCCGCATTAAATGGAGAAGTTATCTTCTGGAAAACCTTGAGTGCCAGCATTTTCACTTTGTTTATGATTAAGCCACCAGAGCACCAGGTACTATTTTTATTTCTCTAGTTGGAGTGCAGGGGTATTTTGTATATTTTGACAAATTTATCGATTGGGGCAGTCCTTGAAAGTGGTAAATTCTATCATGTTTTTTGATGACAAAGTAGAGACATCATGACAAAGAAAAGGTGTTTTATATATACATATATATAAAACACCTTTTCTTTGTCATGATGTCTCTACTTTGTCATCAAAAAACATGATAGAATTTACCCAATTGATACAGTCCTTGAAAGTGGTAAATTCTATCATGTTTTTTGATGACAAAGTAGAGACATCATGACAAAGAAAAGGTGTTTTATATATACATATATATAAAACACCTTTTCTTTGTCATGATGTCTCTACTTTGTCATCAAAAAACATGATAGAATTTACCACTTTCAAGGACTGCCCCAATCGATACATTTATCAATGCCAAAAGGCAAACTATTCATCAGTTCCATTTATCAATAAGACCTAAAGCACTTGCTTAAGCTGTGAATGAGGTATGACTACCAGTTAGTACTGTCTTCACAACAAATAGGCCAATAAAAAAATGTGTTTCTACTCAGCACACATGTGGATGGAACACAGATAAAATATTACTCCCTTGTTGTTCCAAAGAATTAAACGAATTGATTACTGTTAAAACAAATTACTGGAATACAAACTGCCCTCAGCTACTGGGTGTCTCAGGGAAACATACTGAGGGTTAATGATTAGAGGTTAATATAAAGAAAACACATTATAATGTCAAGCACTACCCCAAGCAAACCCATTTAATAATTAAACATGGAAAGCTGCATAGACAGAGATCTACTAGGTTTAAAAATAAAAATAATAATTTAATTCAGATGCAAAATATGTATATACTTGCCACTAAATTAATAACACTCAAACTATAATTATTTAAAATATTCTTTTTCAAATCTGTATTTTCAAATTGAAGTTTTGCTGTGAGATGGGAGTATGAAACAAAATCCAGAGTTTAAGTCCTCACACGTGAAACACAAGTGATGCCATTTAAGGAACACCATAGCATTAGGAATGCAAACGTATTTCTAACACTACAATTCTGGAATAAATGTTTGGGTTTCCAGCCCCCCTGTCTGTGGAGTTAAAAGGTGGTTTATTTATATTTTCTCCATCACCGCACCATCTTGCCACAGCTGGCCCTGCCTTAATGGCAAAATGTTGTGCTGCGCCAGTCAACATCTCCTAATTGAATTAATGCAAAACGTAGGTAGCACATACTAGGATGCACCTCTAGTGGCCGTCTTAGTGACTGCCACTAGAAGTCTGAAAAGGTAGAGTTTTCAGTGCTCAGCCTGCAGGGACATACTATAGACACCAGATCCTCTAAATTAAGCTGTAGTTGTTCTGGTGACTATAGTGTCCCTTCAGTAATTCCAAAGTATGATCAATATCAAATTATACACAATATCTAGTCATCTAGATCAGTGCTCCCCAACCCAGTCCTCATGGCCCGCCAACAGACCATGTTTTGTGAGTATCTCCATTGGAATAAAACTGGGGAATACATAAATCCTGGATTGTTGGCGATCCATGAGGACTGGGTTGGGGAACACTGATCTAGATGCTTCCTTAAATTATTTAAAATACATAGGCATAAAATATAAATACATTTTTAAAAAGGTTAAAAATATATATTTTTAAATAATAGAGGTCTCCTGAACCCAATCTGTGTGGCCCAACTTATTTAGTCAAATAATCAAATTTAGTGTGAGGGCTGTACATTGTAAAGTAAATAATAGATATCATCTCACATGATCTATGTCTGTTGTGGAATTCATACTGAACATGACTACCTATGTTCTAAGATGAAGCTACTTAATGAGTCTATCCCCTCATCTGTCTATGGTAGTGAACAGTTTTGAGTCAATTAGCAGGAACCTGTGCACCTAAGGATAAGTTTGACGTGCACCACAACTTCTTCATCCATGTGAATACCAATTTTTTAAATTTGTATTTATTTTAATAAATGTATTTATATAAGATTTATAAGTATGTGATCATTGCTTGATTTGTTTTATTAATTAAATCCATTAATTCACACCCTTAAGTAGCAGGTAGATAAGTATACTCCATGTAGCTATAATAATAATAAAAAAATAAAAAAAAAGTAGAAAAAGTGGTCAGAAATAACATGGACCAAGTGTAGAGCACTTCCTGTCCTTGTTAAATGTTTGGTTTTGTACTTACGGGGATACTATAGGCACCAAAACAACTTTAGCTTAATGAAGCAGTTTTAATGTATGTCCCATGCACACACTCACTCATGAAGACACACATTAACTAACCCATGCATACACACACTGACACATGCATTGAACCAAGCAGACACACACTCTCTGATCCATGTAGACACGCACACACTGAGAAATGCAGACACCCACACGCTAACCCATGTAGACACACTCACGCTGACCCATGTAGATACACTCATGCTGGCCCTTGCAGACACACTCACACTGACACTGAGTTTATTTAGGTTTAAAAAGGTGGCCTAGCACGTGCCTTACTGTGCAGACTGGTCGTTGGCAGTCTGCATTGCCTGCTCCCATCTGTGCAGGATGTCTTCTTTGGCACCCCTCAGCCTCCTTTACATGCAACGAGGAAGGAGGTCACATAGGGTTTATGACAGTCTTTCCTCCAATTAGTACATTGCCTAAGCATCCTACTGAAAAAGAGAACAAGCAGGTCAGTGTATTCCTTTTCGCTGCTCCTGTGGAAAATGGGCTGGCCAGTGAGGTAGATCTTTTATCTCCCCACCAGCTGTGCCCCCCTCACGCCTGCCTTTCAAAGGTCACGACCTCAGTGGCCTTAAGGGAAATCCAGCTCTGTTTGTGAAACAAAGAAAAAACTTCTAACAACAGCCCACATTCTCCATCTCTTCTTATCCTAGACTTAAGATAAGGCCAGGGACTAATTAAAGGTATTTTGAAAAACTGGGCACACTAGATGGGCCGAATGGTTCTTATTGCTGTCACATTCTATGTTTCTATGTAACTGCATATTGGTAACAAAGTTTCACAGTAGAATCAGTGACAAAATTTCGATCTCCTATCTCCCATTCATTGTTGATTTCAAGTACCCCTGGCAGTAGGTAGCTAGGTACAGCAGTAAGCATCTTTAAGCATCTTTATTAACAAACAATGAATGTAGCAAATAAACATAAGAGTATAAAATTCACAACAGTGCAAAGTCTTTGGGTGTGCATGAAAAGA